GTTGAGAAATATCTGATTGAAAAGTGATAGTGTAGGTTGAGGGATTTTTGGAGCACTCGCTTGTCTGGAGCACTCGCTTATCATGCACGTTATTCAGAGACTTGAGCTTAATTCAATATTTTTCAACAGATCCCGAACAATCTATCATTAGCAACATCTCCTGAATAGTGGGGCAAGTGACTGGGGGGTTGAAAGTAAGGCTTTACCTACTTGCCGGTCTTAAGAAAAGAAATGTATTGCTGCCCAATGCAAATCTCCCAGATGCACTTCTGCCTAGCCTGGGGGCAAATAAAAAACGACCCATTGATGGGTGGAATGCCAACGAAGTTTGGAGTAGTTATGTTCGTTTTTTTTTCTCCCTGGGGCTGCCTAAGCCGCGTAATATAAGCTAATTGTAATTGCACCAGAAATACAAAAAGGTTTCTGTATACAATTCTCTGCATCGTGCTTACACTGCGGCTTACTGGAAAGTAAAGCACAGACTTCTCTTTAAACTTGAATCTCAGCTCTATTGCACCAGCTTTTATCTCTATTGCCAATAGCAAAACATCACCTACCGCCATGGATCCCCTGAGTATCATTGCCTCCGTGATTAGTATCATTGGTGCAATCACGAGCAGCTACAGTACTATAAAGAAGGTTTCAAATCTCCCAGGGGCCTTTGATAAGGTCCAAGACGATCTTGCTATGGTTTCAAAACTTCTCGACAATGCCAAAACCAAGTTGGCAGGTATCCAAATGGATGCCGATGAGCGCAATTCACTCGCAGCGATTGCCAGTCGTTGTGAAAAGAAAATCTATGAGATGCAAGAAATTTTTGAAACTCTCAAGAAGAAGTGTCTTGAGAACCCTGGCGGCGAAACCTGGACCAAATTACGCGTTTGGTATCGCGAAGCAATCAAAGGTGTTAAAAGCCGGCGCATCGAGAATCTTATGACCGATCTACTTAAGGACGTTAAGCTACTGGTGATGAGCCAGATGGCGTGCCTTGCTACCACGAAAGATCTTGATGATATCAAAGTGGCTATCGATGGGCTGTTAAATGTAGAGCCATCGTTGGAGGATCACGAGCTTGAAGGTATCGGGGCTATCCATGCAACCCAATCAATTTCTGATCAAGCTTCTGGGACTCAGTGGAACATGCAAGGGGTGCACAGTACTGGAAATGTCAGCTTCGGGGGTACAATCAACCAAGGAGGGGTGCATAATTCTGGTGGAACCCATACCCATCTGAATGGTGAGAATAAGCAGGCAACTGGGCCTGAACTGGGTATTTATCAGTCATCAGCTAATGTTTGAATTCGACGATAGTTTCATGCTCAAGTAAGACTTCGATTTATCATATGCGAATCTCACATGTAGAAAGTGGCCATTCATGTCTTTCAAAACAAGTTGTTCCAAGTATTGTCCCCTGCTGACTTAAGAAACTCAACAGCTCTTCACCATATGAACAGTGATACAATCCCACAACGTCAGACCTCCATATTATGGTGATTTGATACGGGCCATTTCAGCTAACCAATTCACAGACTCCAATCAGGATGTGTTCATATGGCTGTCCAAACTAAGCTTTTCTGCAACATATGAATCGCGCCTAAACGATTGGAAAGAAGGAACTGGACAATGGTTTTTTGAAACGGACTTGTTTCAAAGGTGGCTACAAGGAGACGATAAAACTCTTTGGTGTCAAGGTCACGGTAAGCTACCATTCCAGTGCTTTTTTATCTAGTTCGAAATGAGTGCTGACATATTATGTGACAGCTGGAGTAGGTAAAACTATTATGATGTAGGTCACTGCGCGTTCCGCCGTCCGAGACTTTACCACTTATCGTTTCTTAGGTCTATCGTGATTCATCATTTGGAAGAGAAGAAGGCGGCGAATGAAGCGATTGTCTATGCTTACCTTGATCATAATGACTCTGTTGGCGCAGAAAGGCTTGTCGCGTCACTTGTTCGTCAATTAGCAGAACAAAACTGCGTGTTGTCGAACTCGTTACTTGAGTCATATAAGGGGCATAAAGACCTTGACGCACCGCTTCTGAGACGAGAATGCCAAGAGCTGCTCTTATCTGAGGCAGACAGATTTCAGAGAGTCTACATGGTGATTGATGGGCTGGATGAACGTCGTGACGAGGCTATGTTTGGTCTTCTGAGTGCAGTGAACATATTACTTTCCTCACACTCAGCTGCCTCATTGCTAGTTAGCTCTCGCAAGATCGAATCGATTGCCTCCTGTCTAGAGGACCCGGTTATTTACGATCTTGAAGCACGGCACTCCGACATTGATACGTACATTGACCAAACCTTGGCGTCTGATCTACCTATCCTGAGCCGTCGAGTTCGGAAATACCCAGGGTTTTCGGATCTCATCAAGAAAAAGCTAAATGAAAAGGCAAAGGGAATGTGAGTCAGCAATATCTGATTGGTACCGAACACGACAAGGCCTTGAGGCATGGGTGGCTGACTGATATCAAATATCTATAGGTTTCTGTTACCAAAGCTCCACCTTCAGATTTTGGAAAGGTCCAAATGCCGGAATAGAAAAGCCTATGAACAGCTTTTGTCTGACTTACCCAGCCCACTTGATCAAACTTATGAACTTCTTTGGAACCGCATCCAGGATCAAGACAACGAGGATGCTGAGCTTGCGAGAGATATTATGACTTGGCTCTGCTGTAGTCTAGAAGCCCTATCGTTTCAATCTTTCAGCCATGCCCTAATTTGGCAATCGACAGGACACGAGGGTCAAGTTGTTGAGGAGGACCTGATCGATGAGGAACAGCTTGCGGATGTCTGTCTAGGCCTAATTGTCATCAACAAGGACAAAGACATAGTCGGTTTCTCACACTATACTGCGGAAGATTACTTCAAAAGAACTTTCCCTAGTGCTGAGGCGCATCAACGCGTTGCATCAGCATGTATTCGGTGTTTATCAACTACTCAGGTAAAGCAGGCAGAGAACTGTAGCTCTCAGCCAGATTCAACGTCAAATACTCCTCCGATGTCTCGAATTCGCCCAGATACTATTACCTACATACTGAGCCCTCCCTTATTCTCCTATGCTTCTCGAAACTGGGGCATCCATGCTAAAAACGCAGTAGAGCTGTCAATGCTCCCCGAGATTCTTCGGTTTTTTGATCTACCGGAAAGGATTACCGCCAGCGGCCGTGCTCTGGCTTTGTCTAACGACCAGTCGTTCCTATATGACTCTAGCACTCCACTCCCAGACAAAATAGAAGGAATTCACCTCGCAGCTTTTTTTGGATTGCTCGACGTTATGAAGAATATAATACAAGCTGAACAAGGGTCCGCTGATGCAGTGGATACACGTGGGTGGTCTGTTTTACGATGGGCTTGTTTTGGTAAACAAACCGAAACCGTTAAGTTCCTACTACACCGTGGAGTAAATGTGGATGTTCAAGACATAGTCGGAGACACGACCTTGATATGGGCCCTTGGTAACCGAAGGACTGTTAACATTTTCAACGGAGTCCATTTTATGAACACCCGGCATCACTTTGGTCACATGGCCTTTGTTCAAGGACTTAACAGTGTTAACCCGACACTTCCAGGGGAGCCACAACCTTTTAACTGCACACCCGAAACTATTAAGGACCTCATTCAGTACTCGAAACATTTGGACACTCGCGGCTACCTAGGTCGCACGGCTTTATCTCACGCTGCAGAGAATCAGCAGTTTGATGTCGTTAAACAGTTACTCGAACGAGCGGTTAATATTGAGTGTGAAGACGACGATGGTATGACGCCTTTACTTTGGTCTCTACAAGCCCCTCGATGGTCCTACAAGTTTATCGATTGCATTTTCTTCAATTCAACTGTGCATATTGGAGACTTTATCGTTGTCGATCTCATGAGAAATGGTGGTGACAACGATTGTCCTTCCGCAAAGCCTGCTACTCGAGATATAGCTCAAGAAGACATTGCCCTAAAGCTGATTGGAACTCATATCGACGCAGTTGACTTTTCTGGTTTATCAGCCCTCAACCTAGCCGTTGAACGATGTCATCCTAGTCTTGTGGAAAGGCTCATAGGACTGAAAGCAGATGTCAACATGATCAGTGGCGGCCTTACCCCATTGGACCGAGCTTCGAGACCATTTTATCGATATGACTTCGAGATGTCAAATTGTGGCTTCATGAACACCAGTACTGTATCAGAAGGCCCCTGTATGCAAATACATTGGAGTAAGGAGAAAGGACTCAAAAGTGTTGAACTATCCCGATTCTACAAAAGACAAAGCCGAATTTTCGACAAACTGAAACAGACAGGAGCGAAGACCTCTGTGACAGAAAACACAGATTCACATTGTAAGTTAGTGCCAGAATGCTCAAAGTATAGTCTTGAAACTAATTTCCAACCTGCACAGGCCATAAAGATCCTATGCATGCAGCTTCCGTGAGCCTTGACCATCTTCAGGAGGTTATGGAATTCGCGACATCCATACGGCCACAGAGAAGTTTAAGACTCATTAACAATACTCGTACCATTGAGGGTAGTAGTACTTCATTTGAAGATCGCTATTACGTCATTTCTCAACCAATCGACCTTCGAACCTTGAATTCCTCTGATATCTTACTGCAAGATCTTTCATGCAATATTGACTGTATCTTGGAGCAACATCTGGGTACTATTATTCTGTAGAGATGATCTAGCTTAGAAGTATATAAACTCAGTTGACTTTGGACCTCTTTTCCTCTTTTCCTCTTCTCCCACAAAATTGCCATGAGTCAATCGATATCTTGCCAGATCTCACGCCAGCACTAATTCCTCGAAATATATCTAAAGGCTAACGGAAGAAATTAAAGAGAGGGATCCAATGAATACACTATCGAGTCGAGTCACAAACAGCCGACACGTCTCGGTACATAGGGCATATAAGCCTATCTGTAAATTTTATATAGTGACAGATTTAAATCATCCTCATAGTTAACACCTTCGGAGGCGTGTATCTATATGATGTGACCCAGCGCCGTAAAATCTTTTATGAATATGCAACTTTAAGTAATTATCCCTAACATGGACTTGAAAGTGTCTATGTATTGAGGGAATTCCTTTGCTATAATAATCGTGAAGGAGAAGCAGGGGAATAGTTGATCCGAAACCCTAAGAACCTGAGGCAGATTCAGATTGCCAGAAATTCGAGTTTCCTAAACACATCCACGACCTCCCTAACTTCGACCAAGTCGTCCGGATTAAACGTTATATGCTTATTGGTTCCTGGCGGAGTAATGTATCTTGTACCTGGCCCAAATTTCATCGCTGATTCAACGTATGAGTACGCCGTCACAACTGAACTCGCCAAGCCAGGTAGTACTATTCCTGGTTCGCATAATAGTATGTGCTGCTGTCCGTGGAGGACCAGCTCGAACATGTTTCTTCCGCGGAGTTCCGGAATTAGGTACTCCAGCACAATGCTGTGCTGAAGCTGATGCTCGATAAGGTACCTGCCGAACATCGAGAATAGTCTTCGATGATCCACTGTAGACAGATCAGGCAGCGAGCCGTGGTGAAATTCAGAAGGGCTGAATCCTTTCTCTCGATCATATACGAATATATGACCACAAAGCTTGCTAGGGTCAGAGCCACTGTTTTCAACGGCTCTAGTCCAGTAATATTGCCGATTGTCATCAGTATCAAGGCGGCCTTCGAGGTATGTCCCTTCTCGTAAGTCGAAATGTTTATGTGCGAGGTGAATTCCGAAAGTTTCCTTGGCATTGCATTCCTCAATCAGCCTACCAAGGTAGTCTATGTGCCTTTCTTCGATTGGCTGCATATCGGAGTCTTTCGACAGCTTGTTCTGTCTGTAGAAGTCAGGCCATGTTACAGGGAAGACCAGGACACAATTTACAGAATGAGGCTTCCATATAGGTCGCCAACCTCAGGTCTTCTCTCAAGACCTGGGACAAGATTAAGCCGCACACCATCGGCAATCATGTCAATATCAATATCGTTAGAAAAGAAGCCAGTCAAGCTTGCTGGTACGTCTAGAGACATGAATCCCTGAGCAACTTTGGATTTACTGTATAAAGTGGTCCCGATTAAATTCCCTCTCAGGAAATGTTGATCTAAATCGTGGTCGTGAATGTGATGAAATAGTAATTCCCTCAAACCCCGCAGTGTCATGCATTTATCAATCCTGACGTCACGACAACATATAGCCAATGGGCTCGAATACCATTAAGATACTTATGATTCGGAGTTCTAGGGTTGCGGAAAAGAATGCAATAGCTGTGCTGAACTTGTACAATCGTCCACCCGGTTATTGGCGCTTGATTTACATTTATCTCTATAAAGTCATAATCCCTATGTTCTGTATTCTTATTGCTTATTACTGCTGATTTGGCGTAGGGTTGACTGAAGTTGTTATTTCCGTGGCCTAGTTATTGCTGTTTCTCCTTTCTCACTTCTTGGTAGCTACTGTCTTTTTAGATTCTGTGTCTCCAACTTCCTCATCCTCCGACTCCGACTCTGACTCAGGCTCAGACTGTTTCTTGGAGGCCTTTTTATCCCGTTTTGTCGATTTCGCCTCCTTTCCCTCACGCTTACTCGTCTTCTTCCCCTTGGCCTTTCTTCTTTTTCTCTTTTTAGAATCACTATCGTCGCTATCCTCAGACGGGGGCTCCTCGCTCTCGTTGTCGTCAGATTCTGATAGGTCCTTGACTCTTGCCATCGGAGTGTCATTGAAGCCGTTGCTCCGGATCTTTTCACGTCTGGCAGTCTCATCTTCGTCAAAGCCATGCGTGGCGAGAAGATACTCGTTGAATTGCGTTGTTGCATCAGCAATCATGCAGAAGTGCTTCGTTTCTAGGGTGCGCTCCGCATCCGGGTCGCGAGAATGCTTCGCTTCGAACTCCGCCAGGGCGAGCGCTGTCTGGAATGCATTTCTGATCTGGCGTCCGTTCCACTGGAGTATTTCCCAGTTTAGGTCTACCCATTTAAGCATCTTCCTGCTGTCAAACTCGATGATCGGAGCTTGCTCGCTCTGACGCTTTTTGTTGATTCCATGCAGGCGCTCGATATTGTTCTTCCAGATAGTCTTGGTCTGTTTCTTGCTGAGCTTGGGGTAGTAGAGAGTTAGATGTAGTCGAGACCTGAAAGCGTCATCAATAGCCCCGACACGATTGGTCGTGAGAAACAAGATGCCAGAGTAATACTCCATAATGCGGAGGAATACTATGACATAGTGTTAGCAAACCTCATTCTATCAGTACGATAGTGGTTCATACCAGACACCAGACCATTTCGTTTCACGTCGGCTTTCTTGGTCACGTCAGACAACCCTAGTAAGTAATCTAGAATAAAAACTCACACTGCGCTTAGCCAAAAACACATCAGCTTCGTCGAGCAGTAGCACACAGCCCCATCTGTGGGCCAATCGGAAATGTTTCTCCATGTTTTCCTCTACTCTTTCGGGTGCATAACCAATATCCCCTTCGCTCATTAGCAATCTTCACAGACCTCTTGCCTATGTATACCTTACCGCAGGTGATTGGGTAGAGCGGACGTCCAGTATAAGTTGCCACGCATTCTGTATTCTTGTTAGCTCTGAATAGATAAGCACGGGGAGCTAACCAACTCACCTGCTGTAGAAGTCTTGCCCACTCCAGGTACACCATGGAGAAGGATGATGCATCCTTTGCCTGTAATTTTGTTAGTGAGAAAAAAAGGCTTATCAGTTACCTTTGAACAAACCTTTGCCCCTTACTATATCCATTCCTGCATCAGTATACCGACTATCTGTAGCTGATGATCCATTATGTGAGCCTTTAGCATACGTCTCGACCATTGCTTGCACCATCTTCCGATGACCCTTTGGAAGTACAAGCTGGTCCCAGTCATCAACTTCCTCAGGTTCCCTGAGTAAGTCCAAATCAAGAAGCACTTAAAATTCGTATTAGCTATTGTTCGCAAGTCGAATACCGAGCTGTAAACCCAACATACCCCATGTCTTATTTCTAAGAGCGAATCCAGGCACTGCTCCAGGCAGAAGATGAAGAAGCCCGTCAGCTCTCATATTCTCTTTGAAGAGTCTGAGATTATCCTCGCTATCGAGATCTCCAGGTTCGTAATCTTCTAGGAGCTGTTCAATCTCAACCTTCATCTTCATGGCTAGCGTCTTCTGCGAGGGTGGATAGGCGTCGTTGCCGCAGCTACTAAGAGTGCATCCAGGAAATCCGCAACCGTTCGTAGCCAGTTCGATTTTATCGTCTTCCGCCGACGCAGGCCAGAGATCTTGAAGGCTGTGAAACTTAGGGGCGACAACATAGGGCTCGGAAGAAAATTCATGCTTCTCGGTGTATGCTAGTTTGAAGTCGACGATAACATCGCTCTCAACCTATATATACGGTTAGTGACCAGCTATATCGCATGGTTGGAGCCTTGTCCTTTACCTCTTCACGACTCTTGCCCACTGTTAGACCCTCGTAGGACATATGCGACACCAAGGTGGCATCGATGAACTTTTCACCTCTTCGTAAAAGCCCAGCAATCGGATCTTCTCCTGCTTGGCTCACTCTCCTGAACTGCACTGGATATGCCTCCAAGCTTTGAATGTCCACCTGGCCATGAAACGGCTTGAAGAGAAGAATATTCTCTACTACACCATACTTGATGCCATCAAAGTCGATATTGATACATATGACATGGAGCGGTGAAAACAAGCTGTTTATACGCCTGGACGCTAGGCCAGTGGCTCGAAGTGCGTCCTGGAATTTATCAAGCCCATCTAGTACCCTGATGTCGTTTGTCATGTTTCTCGCTTCCTCTGAAGTGGGCGTAACGGGCGAGATTGAGGGAACACCACCAAGAACCCCGACGACGCGAAACGCTTGCGGCACATACTGCGGCTGGGTTGTATACTCCCCGATCTTTTTGATATCGCGGAAAGGACAGTATATAGTTGAACCTGGAGCAAAGAGCATCCAGAGGTCGTCAAAAGATATTTTGTCCCATTTTCCGAGCTTGATACGCTCAAGCTGGTTGACCTGCTTATGCAAATACTTGTCGACGAATGACACTAGAACTCTGAAGTGTCCCAGGGCTTCAATCTTCTCATAACCTGGCTCTTCGATGAGGGTTAAGTCATCCGTAGGCTGAGCAGAGTCTGTAGCTTGATCGGTGTGCGATTCAGGATCTTGTCCGTCGTATCGCAGTTCAAGCTTGGATAAGTGTTCCCTTATTGCGTGGTAGTTTTGCAAAAGTGGTCTAAAAGGCTTCATCATGCGCAGTGATGGATGTAGGTTTGTGGATAGGCCTCCACTTGCTTTCAGGAAGTCTGAAATATGCGCGGACTCAATACGTAGAGCGATGAGATTGGCATTGGCAGGGTCAGGCTCATCATTCACTAGAGGCTGAGAATCTGGCCCATCTCTCCAGCTGAAAAGGGCGCGGATGAAATGCTGAGAATCCGTAACGCAGCCGAAAGTGCCTGGCCTGCTTGTATCAGGTGCGTATTTACCCTGCTGATCAAACTCGGTTGCCGAAGGAAAGAATTTGACTTCCAGGGGTTTGTTCTTTGGCGCGACTTCTGATACCTGGTCTTGTGCTTGTGTTGCATGGCCAGATATCATATCAGTGTCGTTGTGTTCATTGACTTCAGCTGGCTCATCGTTCTCCAAACGCCCAATTCTTTTCTCAAGAATTCTAACAAGATCGACAATATTGTTTACCAGCTTTGGTGAGAGTTGTGACCGGCTTCCGGTATATTTCTCCTCAAGAGACTCCAACTTCTTTTCATACAAATCATGCAGGTTCTCTGTTGCAAGATCATCAGCAAATGCCACAGTCCCCTCTTTCGTATAGTTATCTCCAGTGTGGAAATCATCTTCTGTGTCTCTCTTGGGCTCAACATTGGGTACTTGTGCATTCTCATCTGACCGTGGAGCCTCCTGGGGCTTTTCAGCCAAAAGAGAGCAGTTATCGGTCATTGAAGACAGTCCGACGTCCCCGTGAAGGCTTCTCAAGCCTACTTGGAGCTCAGTCATCATAAGGACACTTGGTGGAATAATTCGACTGCTACAGAATGAAGGTAGCTTAGGGGTGACAAAGTTCGATGAGGCGGTTGAATACTGGGGACTGGAAACTATAATCAGATTGCGGCTCTGCAGCACCTTCATCCACCACAGCCTCGATTAAGTGCCTGTATGAGTAATTTATCTGTCAGCAGCTGCGCTGCATTGGACTGGACTGTGTAAGACGTGGCTGCATTGAGCTGAACCTCGAGTGGAAGCCATCTATCTGCAGTGTTCCGTTTTCCGACAGAAACACACTATCCACAGCCAATCGAAGCCACACTTATGCAGTCGTCTGTGCATTTGGGATTGATAACAGCGGGCGCCCCGCTTTTGTATGTATGTGCCAGTGCACAGCCTGATTTTCGAGAATCAGGCTCTGGCTTTTGGGTATCTCAGCATGCCCCCCGACGAAGGTCTGTTCTTGATACCACCTTACTCCTCTTCATGATATGTTCTACCACACATCAAAGAGATGAATCGAATAAAACTTGCCTCAGAGCCGCTGAGATCACGGTCAAAGATACTTACAAATAGCGCGGCGGAGTTTGTCGAATTACGTGCTGCGCCAACTATTCTCGATGAACTGGGCCACGATAGAGAGGGCAACAACACCCTGACAAGCAATGAAAATGACGTTTCTGAGTTTGACCCTGTGTGTGACAGATTTTGGAATAAGGAAGAAGCCCATAGGTAAGAGTCTTATGTTCAAAAGATGATGTTATGAGCTGACAGCATGAAGCCAGAAAGAGATACTTAAGGAGTCTGACGAACAGTTGGAGTGTTTCCAAACCACTCTAAGACAGTTCAATACTTTGCTGGAGAAGCAAGACATCTTCAAGAAGCTCAGCCTTACACCTCGTGATCCGACCACCTACGACGTTGACTACGTCATTGAGGTAGCCAACAAGATCAACGATTACAAATATCGTAAAGATCAAAAGGATAATACTCAAAGGTGCAGAGCTTTCATGCAGAAGTGTGCTGAGAGTATTGCCAGTCGACGAAGGGTCATTAGTGGGATCTTGAGTATGATACCAGGCGATGCATATGGATCCGTCATCTCCGGAGGTTTCTCTCTTATCCTACTGGTACTGGTCACATCTTAATAATAAATCGTATGAATTAAGGCTAACATTCAACCTCTATAGGCTGCTGAGGTTCATCAAGCTGGCCGTGTTGAAATCCAATCTGCACTCGCAGATATCCCACGCAAGCTCGAGGATATAAAGAGATTCGCTGAGATACTTATGCCATCTCCAAATCTTTACAGAAGTGCCAACGGTGTATTCATTGCAATCTTTGCAGTATTGGAAAGGATAATAGCTAAGCTTTCAAAGACTTTGATGCGTAGGACATTGCTGGCGACCCAGCTACGACACTTACTGACTAGTATATTGTAATAGAATCGATAGCCTTCAAGCTCAAGGGCAAAGACTCCGGTATTACAGAGGCTCTTGAAGCCCTTGATTACCAGGTTTCTCGATTCAAAGTCGATGTAGACTTTTGTAGGGACCGGAGACTGGGTCAAGCATGTGAGACTATGCAGAAGGTCGTACAAGAAGTGACCGGCGTTAAAGCTATTACTCGCGGTGAGTTTAATCTTTCTTCTGTAGAAATGGATAAATGATATCCCTTTTCTTTTTATTCATAAGCTGACATCCGCACAGAGCTTGAAAACCGGGTCCAGTCTACATTGCAGGAACATAAAGCATTAAATAAAGCCCTGCTGGATTCACTCTATCAGTTTCTTACCAGCAACCCTGCCTACAACCCAGCCAATAACACAGGTATGCTATTAGATATCGAACTGAGATTTTCGTTTAACACGCTATTCTCAGTTAATGCGCGGGCTCTATCTTATCCAGAAGCAGAGAATCCTACAACTACAAACAAGATTGCGGATACAACGAGCCCGATTCCCCAGAACAAGGAGTTAGCGGCGGACTGGCTTGAACATCTTGGAGACTTTGAACCTACTTCTCACAAACATATCAAGCAGCTCGTCTCGGGGCTCGGAGACCTTGAGCCCGATGAACAGGACAAGTTCGAGTGGATTCTGAAATCAGGCGAGCTTCAGCAGTGGCAACGCTGTATGTATTCCACTATTCTCGACGTTCGCCCTGAAGATTCGCCTGAAGAGGACAACAACGCGTTATCATTGGCAAGTGCCATTATCCAAACATCTCTAGAGACTGTAGACGACATTCTGGTGATGGGCTTCTTCTGTGGGCTTAGGACGACAGACTCACGCCATTCCAGTGAGTCAGGGCCCATGGCTCTTCTGAACAGCCTTAATGGGCAATTTGTCAGATTCCTCGCCGAGAAAAGAGCATCGGCCGATATGAAATTCCTGGGCAAAGGTAAATTGAGAAGGAAATCAACCGTGGAGCCCAAGTATGCGCTCCAGCTCTTCGAGGAATGTCTTCAGCGTCTCCCAGAGCGTGAAATTGTGGTCATCATCATTGACGGCTTTTCTCGTCTCACCGGCAACAAGGACACGGGCCATAGAATCATCAAGAAACTGTGTCAGATGATGACTGACTATCCTGACATTATTATCAAGATTTTGATTACCGATGCGCTACCAACGTGTCCTTCGAAGGATCTTGCGACCCACTCGCTTTACGTGCCCAACGAAATTGACGGTGATAGAAATGATGTTGATGTGGAGGTGCTCAGAGATGAAAGTAGGACTTGTATCCTCGACTTTCAGGATAAAAGGCAAAAGGAGGGCGAAGGTTCAGCCGAGAGCTCCGATGAATCCGGTAATGACAGTGACTGGTAGTTTTGAAAGTTGGAGGATCAATTGCAAACCCATTTCTTGGTTAATTGCACACGCGGCAAATATCGATATGAAAGTCACTAATCGAACGCGTTGGTGAACTCAAAAACAGTACACAAAGTTCGAATCGAATCGGCAAAAGGGCAAACCCAGTAAAGTAAAAGGAAAAGCGGCTGTGTCTCTACTATATCTATAATTCATTTTCACTTCTTGTAAAATATAATGAGTAACATGAATGATTGCGCACTTCATTGACTCCTATTCATGGCTCCATTACTTACACTCCTTGCTGAACTGGCCGAAGGAAAAAAATGAAAACTCCTCTTAAATAAATATTTCCGCAGATCCTCAATTTTTCGTCTCTATATTCTACTTGATATGAAGTCGGTTATGATTTCTGCAACCTCCTCCGGTGCTTCGAGCGGGGCAAGATGTCCAACTTCTTCCAGCACAAGAAACTCGGCCACGGAAATGTTACCAGAGACCTCAGCCTTGACACGGGCCACAGGTTCAACTTGATCTTTGCCTCCAGCAATAACAATTGAAGGAATGGAGATCGTTTTGGCTAGCTCTAGAATATCTTCATTCATGGCATATCGTGGCCATGCTGCTTTGGCAGATGGACTGCCTTTCAACATATCCTCCACAATTCCCTTGATAGTGCCGTCGGCCAGGGCCTTTGCTGTGAGGACGTTCCGGGCAACAGACCCAGCATTCTGTGCGTTATCGTAGGCACTGACCTGTTGATCACGCATTTCTTCCGGAAGCACCAAAGGCGTTGGCGGCGCCGGGCAGAGCAGGACTAAACCTGTTAGTCCAATAACAAACTTTCGACCTGCAACGGCTTGAGCCACTTTTGCGCCCATAGAGTGCCCGACGATGATGTATTTCTGTAGTTCCAGCTGCGTAATGACATGTTCAACGTCTTGGGCGAGTTGGAGGATGGAGTATCCTGTCTCATCAGCGGGGCCTGTAGAGCTACCCCATCCGCGAAAGTCAATTCGGGCAGTTGGGAAGGCCGGTGCGATTAAATCGTTGACGGGTGACCAGGTCTTGGAAGATCCTCCCCAGAAATGGAGAAAGATAATAGTTGGATGGTCTTGCGATTGCCGTGAAGGAAACGACTGCTCGATATGAAGGTGAACATCTTCTTGGAGCGGGATATGCTTGGTGGTGGAAATAAATGACATGTTTACTCAATGGCTCTCAGAGTCTGTCTTTGGGTTTAAACAAGAGTCAAAAGTGTTGTTGAGTTGGTCACAGCAAATGGGTTCGATGCTTTCTTAAATAGTTTTGTTTTCTAGAATGAAGTCATGATAAACCCGACACGGCTCGGATATATCAGACTTTATTAGTCAGTGAAGATAGTTCCGTGAGCCTACGGTCATTACCGCATGCAGATGGCGTTAATCACTTGATAATGTTTTACAAATCAGTCCAATATTATAAATAAGTGCCCGGTTGACGAAAGTCCGGCGTATGTATAGTAGAAATGATTAATATTTTCGTGAGCACACTATGACGGTTTAGGAAAGATTATCCAAAAGCTGAGGACATCGTTGACAAGAGGAGGAGCAAGAGCTATGACTCAGCTGACTAGCCACGAAAAGGATGAAACGATGTCCGTGATTGAGGCATGAACAGATTTTATCGCGCTACCTTTAGAAACCTTCGGGATAATTTGAAGGGTCGGTGAAATCGTCATCCGAAACCAACGTGGGGTTGGATTCTCTGCAAAGACTGCATAGGAGCGCTTTGACCCCGACTTATTGTCAATAGAGATATCGTAATAAGACATTGTGACCGGGTAAGTGATCTATCGCAGCTTAGGTTGAGCAAGCCATCGGGAGTTCAAAAGAATCACTAACAGAGAATGAACGCATGACGAAAGATCATCGAAGAGGCGGAGCAGGAATTCAGGCTACAAACAAGTTGACCTCGAGACGCACGCACGTGGGCAGCGTCTCACCCGCGGACAGATAAGGTTAAGATTTAGCTCTGGACCTGCTTAGACTCAGCTGAAACGATGACTGGCTTATTTTATTCCATGGTCTATTGGCGGCTTGGAAAGCTGTGCTATTATTGGGGCGTTGAGTGCAGAGAACTTCCCCGCAGGTTCAGCTGGTTTGGGCAAGCCGTTCGTGCATGAGGTAACCGCCGTGGCGTCACAATTACAAAAGAATCTTTTTACGAAGCGCTTTCACATATCGATAGTCTTTGGCGAAAAAGCAATCCGCAGGTATTCAAGAATTCCGCGGAGCCTAAACGCAAGCCCGAGCCACTCGCACCCTAGCGCAGATCACCAGCCAGCCTTAGCGTTCTGGCTAGTGAGCCACGTCACGCTTGGACAAACGCCACAAGATTCTTTGCTTGGCAAGGTCTTCTCGGTGCTTCGTACGGAGTATGTCCGACTCTCTGTACTCCGTAGTGTCTCAGGTACCCCGTCAATATTTAATCTAGGCCTAAATCGACTGTCACTTCACAATGGTTGCTGGGCAACCGATATCGGCGGAAGGCCGTGTCAGCCAGCCACGGAAGACAAGAGATGGTGACTCTCAGCTAGCCGCAGAATACAGAGAGTTGCAAACCATGTCGGCTTGATCTCAGCCAGCCACAGAGACCGATCCTGTGGGCCCCCTCGCGAACACTTCTAGTGGTGGAATGCCGAGCAGGTTCTCTTCGCAAGATGCTGCCGATGGAATCATGCACAACGGATCAGAAACACTACCAGAGAAGCAAAAGTAGGATCCGAGTAAGGTTCCAATTCAGCCTGGACTGACGCCCAGCTCCCAGGGTCGTCTATAAAATGGTAACCATCGCCCATCATATCGCACCTATTCTCATCATCATCATATCATAGTTAAGTTACTATACTTCATCTAAGAAGTATCTTATTTCTTACTCTTCCAATCCTTACTTAGCTTACAAATATCGCCAAAATGGTCAACAGTTACACCATCACCGTCAAGAACCAATCAGGGGTCCAGCGCAAGTACGCCCTGTTCCAAGAAGCCGAAGGTCACCGGACCGGTCCAAAGCGAAATCTGGTCTAACGTGTTTGTCACCAAGACTGTTCCTGTGGAAAACAGTGTCACTTTCAAACTTTCTAACAAGTCCTATGGTGTCGTGGGCTCCAGTGAAGGTAATCCTGGTGACGCAGTATATATGGATGTCGGTGGAAACCACGAGGTCACGGTGGGCGTCAAGACGGCAACAGGGGAAGTTATTCCAGGCAGTACTCTCAAAATGGTTGTGGACGACGAAGAAGCTCAATTTTCAACTGAGACTTTTCCTAACTCGTCAATGACCAGCGCGTTTGAGATCCGAACCGGTGAATTCAGCGCTGCAAAGGCCAAGAGGGGTAAGTGAACCAAATGGCAGACTCTTGGGGATACACAAGAGGTAGACTGTTGCTAACTTCTTCTATCCTTCAAGGCAAATACATGATTGGTGTTGGTGGCTCGACCAACGGCACTGGCCTCTCAGGTGCTCAAGCAACCTTCTGTCCTGAGCCCCTCACAACATATCAGATTGAACCTTTCAAGACCTATTACCTTACGTGGGGTAACTATCAACAGGGAGCCCTGGTTGACTACACCAAAATCGCCAACATCAAGGAAATTGACTTCACAAAGCTCCCCCACGAGATCGTCATTACCCATGACGAATACAACTACTTAAACATTCAGGGGTAATAATAGCAAGACTGGCCTATTATTTAAGCAGATATAGAGGCCGAGAATAGAGGCTTTAGAGTTGTCCCTTAAGGGTGCTCAAGGATATATTTGCCACTCACATTAGCTGCAAACAATACTTTCATGTTAGTTGCGTCTCACTTACAAGGTCTGGGGGTCAATACTATCTCAATAGGAAGACGTGCATGCAGTGTGATATTCGGTAAGGACATGCCTGTATAAAGCCATAAAGAAAAGTCTCCTAATTTGAGCTGCAATAATGTGCAAGCCCTGGCCTAGCCTCCTTTTCAAAGCCATCTTTTGATACCTGTTATTGGCTAGCTATTTGGTGCTATTTTAAACGCCTGCTGATTTTATGCTCAGCCTCGTGCCTGAAAGGCCAACCAATAGAACTCATACGAGGAATCTCACCGCTTATCCCCCGCTCCTGCGAAAGACGCCAGACTCTTCTGTATCAGACTGGAACTAAGACAAGACCAGCCATCTAATTATGAGCAGACAACTCCCAATTCGGCCAGAGCAAGGATCCTACGTTCAATTCCAAGTTGCAACGAGCCAACCCAGAACCCCCAAAAACCGAAACAGAGACGTTTTGGCAAAGCTCCGCGAGTCAATTCCCCAGAATGAGACTCAGTGGCAACAGGCCCGTGACCTTCACGGCTATAGTACAGTAGACGATGTACTGCAAAAGACAAGAGAAATACTGGAAAACAAAATCGCGAAGGCAGATTTGCGGAACTTCTTATCAATCGCATCTTGTTGTGTTGATTGGCATCTGGGGAGAAAGCAAGAGGCCTACCAAAACTTCAAGATACAGATCAGTGATGCAACCGAATTGACGATACAGAGGTATATGTCTTACCTACGTGCCATGCTCCAAGCCATGGATCGAGTGTACCTCCGGGGACCACGTCATCGCGTCTTTGAAGGGACTCTTTTGTATTGTATGTGTCGAATTGACTGTCCTGGTTCAGTTCTCTTATTTGCATCATAGCACGTATTACGCCATCATTTCTTGCACATTACACCAAAGAGACAGGAGAGTTCGATTCCTGTTTCCCGACCTTTAGTTGCATACACCCTGAAACACAGGCATCATTGCCCCTCGCACCCGCATTTATTCTCAAGTATCGATATCCCCAGCACAGGTGAGATGTCACAGTGACGAGATATTCAATCACTCATTAACTTATTTATAATAGCTTTGGAGATATCTGCGCTGCTCTGGGTACAGAGTCCCTCGATGAAAAAAATTACGCCAAATTCATCTCCGTTCTGGAGAGTGGAAGGCCAATACCAACAGTACTGTCGCTACCAGCGCAAGCCCCGTATACTGCTCTTTCTGTCATAAAATGTCAGCCCGAGTCAGCTGAAGATGATCAAAGAGTTTCCGAAAAGCCCATCAATGATCTAGACATATTCGCACTCCCAAAAGGCTTCCCCTTAGTCTATAAGATATACGGTGTCCCAGATGCCGTTCAGCAATTATTACAAGAAGCAACTCACAGAATAAACTACGACAGTCTACGAGAAGTGCCAGATACGCCCCTGCTTGAGTTTCAATGGATTGATGATTATGACATCATAGTTGATGAAGTAGTTGGTGACTTGGTCGGTTAAATCTTGTAATGATAGAATCCCATGCTGATTTGTTACCGATCAGATTGAACAAAACCTTCTGCCACAACAGCCATTTCGAAGGTACAAGTCGCTCTATCAACATGAGCCCGGATCCATTTCTGTTCCGCCTGGTTGGATCAAGATTATCATACCCTTCACCTTGGGACATCAGGTTTGTCAGGTTTCGATAGCTGCGACAACTGTTGCGAAGCAAAATGTTATATGGGACACTAAGGTGGGGTTAATCCTTGGCAGCGATGTGTTATTCTCAACAACTTGCCAAATCTGGTATTGTTCTGTATCTATTGCTCTGAGCTCTTGATAATAAGTAAGGAACAAGCCTATTTATTACCTATAGAATACAATTATAAATGTTGGCATTCTGAATTTATGCAATATCTCTAATATCTGCACTACAAACACCGATAATGAGGTTGTTCTACAGTGAACACAGCTTACATGTTGAACTTCACTGGCTAAGAATCACACTCGTATGAGCTTGGAACAATTCCCCTGCAGATTACAGTTTTAAAATCTTCTTACAATTAGTAGAAAGAGAAGCTTAAATCACCCCAAAATCAGGTAAAAAGGAGTTTTATTTTTATTTCTATAAAGGCATTAAATACTAGATGAAAGTTACCTCAAATCATTCTGAGGAGTATCGTTCAGGGTAGAGGTGAAGATGGCGATCGATCGGCCGATAAGATAACGACGGCCGATAACGATAAGCAAGGTTAACGCGCCAACACGCTCCCTTTAAACCAAGTCACGCAACTCCAATTCCAGCCATTGACTCACATGCACCACAATTGGCTGTTCCGTCGGCCCATTTCACACCAAGTCACGAGTTACCGCGTCCGACTCGTGGTCCCATCATTCGACTGAGCATCCTAATCAACGCGTGAGGACCGTGTTTCACCAGAATGGCCAGGCTTCTATATGGCCATTCTGGCTTGTGTCGTCAGAGTCACACCAGTTCTCGGTGAATTGACGGTGGTTTGATGGCAAAGACGCGGTACAGAAACGCGTTACATGTAAACAATGTAGAATATTAAATGAATGATTGAACCGCAAGAGAAGTTTACAGGCCGATCTTGCATTTCGCGTCAAGATCGCAGACAATTTTATGCACCTTGTACTGCACTTCTAATTGCTCAATTACTTCCCCAGACCTTAATCATGTCCTCCAACATTGGCCTCGTCGATGAGTACCTCGCCAAAGGAACGTGGAAGACCGCTGAGAACGCCAACTCAACCTACTCCCACCAAGGACTCATGCAATACGTCTCCAACCAGATCATTTCTCAATACTGGCTCGAAAAGATCTACACCGAAGAGATCCGAAAATATGACCACGAGAATCGCTTCCATATTCACGACCTCGGCTTCCTAAGCGCGTATTGCTCGGGCTGGAGCATTGAAGACATTCTTCTGCAAGGCTTTGGCGGCGTTGAGAATAAGATTCAATGCCGTCCTGCGAAGCACCTCAACACTGCGCTTAACCAGATTGTCAATTTTCTGTTTACTCTGCAAGGTGAACTTGCTGGTGCCCAGGCTTTGTCTAGCTTTGACACGTATCTTGCACCCTTCATCCGCAGCGATGCACTGTCCTACACCGATGTATTCAAATACGTTCAGAGCTTCGTTTACTCCCTCAATGTCCCGACCCGAAGCGGTTTCCAAGCGCCATTCACGAACCTTTCTCTCGATCTCATCTGCCCGAAACGACTTGGCGATCAATGTGTTATCATCGGTGGCGAGCTTCGAACCGATTCGGTATACAGTGATTTCCAGGAAGAGATGGATATACTCAACAAGGCATTTGCTGAAGTTATGATGCAAGGAGATGGAAACGGCAATATCTTTTCTTTCCCTATCCCGACTTATAATGTCTCTGATGGGATTGATTGGGAATCGCCACGGTGGCAGAGCATCTGGGAGATGACCGCCAAGTATGGCGTTCCATACTTTGCCAACTTCATCAATAGTGATCTCGATCCTGAGGACTTTCGGTCCATGTGTTGTCGCTTGAGGCTTGATCTCAGTAAGCTTCACTGCAGAGTCGGCGGTCAATATGGCGCAAGTCCGTTGACTGGCTCTGTTGGAGTTGTCACGATCAATTTGCCCAACCTGGCATACCGATCCAACGGTTCGAAGGAGACGTTCATGGACGAGTTGACAAGCACGTTAAGAGTGGCCAAGGACTCTTTGGAGATCAAGCGAAAACTGGTGGACGAGAATTCGACGCTATATCCCTACGCCGCTCACTATCTGTCAGCTACCAAGCATCGCACTGGGTCATACTGGACCAATCACTTCAGCACCATCGGCGTCAATGGTATGAACGAGGCACTCGTCGATCTTCTTGGCGAGGGTATTGGTCAGAGACAAGACTTTGCCCTTGAAGTTCTAGAGTTCATCAAGGACCAACTCCAGGAATTCCAGAAGGAAACAGGTAACCTCTACAACCTCGAAGCCAGTCCAGCAGAGAGCACATGCTACAAATTTGCCAAGCGAGACAAGGAACTCTTCCCCGATAAAGATATTCCTACGTACTACACCAACTCCACGATGCTACCTGTCGATACAACGGAGGATCTCTTCGAAGCTATGGACCATCAGGAGGCCCTTCAGTGTTCTTACACTGGTGGAACTGTCTTTCATGCTTTCCTCGGCGAACAGCTGCCGAGTTGGAAGTTGGCTAGAGACTTGATCAAGACTCTCACCGCACGCTTTCGCATTCCGTACATCACACTCACTCCAACGTTCAGTATCTGTCCGACTCACGGATACAGAGCAGGCGAGCAGCCAGAGTGCACAGCGTGCGGAGAATTGACGCTCGTTTACTCACGTATTGTCGGGTACTTTCGACCCACAAGGGATTGGAATCGTGGCAAGTCGAAGGAGTTTGTGCAAAGAAAGGTGTACAAGTATGAGACAGGCCTGGAACGTCTGACTAATGACAACAAGATTCAAGAACTGGAGAAGCAAGTCGCTGCGATTAAAGATCTTCCTGTTGCTGGCTACATTAAGAGCACTCTGAGTGACTACCCAGGCAAGATGCAAGCTTCTATCATGTTTACATCTCGCTGCAATCTCGCCTGTCCTTGGTGTCACAATGGCCCATTAGTCCAAGGAGAGTGTGACGATGTTACCATTTTAGACGTCTTCCGTCACATTACATCAACGTCTCACGGGTCACTCGTTGTTTCAGGCGGTGAGCCAACCATCCACAAAGGTCTCCTCCCCTTCCTCAGAATCCTCAGAGCCGCTGGGATCAGCGTCAAGCTCGACTCAAACGGCACATCCCCCGAGGTCCTCAAAGAAGTCTTCTCCGAGAATCTCGTCGACTTTGTCGCGATGGACATCAAGTGTGCTTTGGAGAACTACAAGCGTGTCACAGGTAAAAAGGTCAAGCCGAAGCTTCTCGAAGCTAGTATCGATCTTATCAAGAGTAGCGGAGTACCTTATGAGTTCCGTACGACGGTTGTACCAGAATTAGTTGATGTTGAGGACTTGTTTGAGGCGAAGAGGTTGTCGGGAAAAAAGCTAACGATGCAGAGGTTCAGAAATGGCGAGACATTGTTGGATGAGAAGTTTAGGACGTTTCAGGAGCATACGGATGAGGAGTTCGATAAGTTGGTGAGTCAGGTTGCGTAATATGGAATGTCTATCTTTCACAGTTAGGTCACGGTCTTATATGAATAAGAATGCCAATTAATGATAGAGGTGTGAATTCAGTAAATATTTCGTGTGTTCGGTGTTGCTCACCAGACAGATTCGGCTCTATTGCAACATCGCACGGTATGAAAGGCAGCGCTGAGTGCAATCAGAGACCCCGAGACGTATCTGGTGAAATGTTCGGACTAGAATCCAATAAATGCATTCTTCCCTCCACTCAAAGGTAAACTAATCAACCCAGCCTTCTTCCGAAACATGTCCATCCACTGTGGATTATCCGCCCACGTCGAATCCCAAGAATTATCAGGGCCGTATATAATCTCGCTCATCTTTCGTTGTATCTGGCGATCCGACGGCACATGGCCTTTCGAGATCTCGGTAGATACATATTGTAACAAGAGCCTCTGTACCTCCTGGTGAGAGTGCGGAACCTCTGATTCTCTCGAGCTCGCCTCAGTGGTGCTAAACGGGCTCAAGGCGTATGTGTCGACACGGTGGTCAACTCGTGAAGCAGAAAATGGCTCCATAGTCCGCCGCTGATCACCTATCAAGAACGCAGGCATGTCATTCTCCACGAGCTCCTCAATACTCTTATCAAAACCACGGTCACCTTTCCATTCTCTCATATCTGTACCTGACCGAAAGTGCAAAGCAAGATGCCTCTGCCTTTCTGTCCAAGTGTCCAGTTGAGCATCACAAAATCCACATCTTGATCTTACATCATCTATCGACGAAAGCCAGCTCTTCATGGAGTCATTGAAGTTGCAGCCTTGATGAAAGAGGCGAAGATGTTGTCTTAGGTGATCCTTCCGGTGGAACAGTCGTGCAGATTCTGGTTGCGCAGCACAGGCTGAATAGTTGTGAGTCTCTGGGTGGTCTGTCGAGGGGTTGAGACATTTGCAGAAGATGCAGTACGAATTTCCATCTGTTTGTTGTATTACCGGTCCGTATCTTGAGCATCTACAAATACATCAGTTATTATAAATCGGAAACGGCTTGACTCATACTCACTTCCATTGCTCAAGAGTTAAGTGCATTGTTGTCTCATGCCTTTGCCAGTCATGTTTTGTTTTAAAGGCATCCGTGCAAAAGGTGCACTGGTACCTTCGTTTAGTCGTCTCCCTCTCTCGTGCGGTGTTGATGTTCTGGCGTGTCTGTCTCCTTCTCCGTCTCAATCGAAAAGCCGACGCGATTGGTGAAGTCAGGGAATCTACAGACCCCACGGATGAATCTGATGGGGCGCCATAGTATCCGCTGGACGATAGCCCTGAGACATCTTCAGCCAAAGTATCACTAGATGCGAGTGCCCCAGAAGTTGTGCAATCCAAGGAGTCCAATGATTCGACTGATAAGTGCTGTAACCCTGTCCGGGGCGGGCCGCCGTCGGTAACATCGGCTTCTGTATTCAGCGTCCCGCTATCGAGCCCGGAATTACTATCCAGAACATCGTCATGGTGGTGAAGCCATGAGAGCCAGTCGTCTTCGTCAGGTAACGTACCGCCTCGTGGAGAACCTGGTGCACTCATGTCCAATTCAATTCGTAAAACGAGAATTTGGTCCAAGGCGTGAGGAGGGGATCGGCATATCGGAGGTGGCAACCGAACTTATCGCTGGCGTTGTCACAGGGCGCAAAATTAGCTTGCGCCCTTCATGATGACCCACTTCTGCAGGTGAAGGGAGCTACTGGACACGAAAGGGTTGGCCATGTCAACTCCGTGATAAGGTGCATTGCATTGACTATTTATTGCACAAGTCATAGTAGACAGAGACTTATTAGGTGCTTGCATCTTATCCATCCCTATCATTTTGCCATGTCTGCACACGCTTCTACTCGTCCCAACGGCACAAATGGTTCTACAGCCTCCGTGAAGGCACAGCTCGATGCATCAAAGCTCAAGTTCGATTTGACAACTGCGCTGAAGGATGTCCCCAAGCCCGGATCCGCTGAGCTGTGGGAACAGAATGTCGCTACAGACCACATGGTTACCTGTCGCTGGACGGTACAGAACGGCTGGGAAGATCCAGTTATCAAGGCCTTCGGCGACTTGACTATTTCGCCCCTCGCATCTTGCCTTCATTATGCCACCCAGTGTTTCGAAGGCATGAAGGTTTATCGCGGTTATGATAACCGCGTTAGACTCTTTAGACCCGATCGAAATGCAAGGCGCCTGGTCATGAGCGCCGAGAGAGTTTCTCTCCCGGGTTTTGATCCCGAGCAGCTCGTCGAGTTGATCAAAGCCTTGGTTCGTGTTGATGCGAAAAGTAAGTATTCCTATCTACACACCACTCATCGCTCACAACGTGGTAGGATGGCTGTCAGAACCCGGCAGCTTTCGGTACATCAGACCAGCATTGATCGGAACCGGCCGCCAACTGGGTGTCCAGATCCCCAAGGAAGCCATCTTGATGGTCACGATGGTGTGCTGGCCCGACTTCTCCACCGAGGTTCCTCCAGGCGTAGAGCCAAGATCGGATCTACGTCTCATCACATCGAGGAATGACACCATCAGGGCGTGGCCTGGTGGCTTTGGTTACGCCAAGGTTGGTGCGAATTACGGCCCTAGCTTTGCATCTCATTGCGAAGCGCAACAGGCTGGCTACGACCAGGTCTTGTGGTTGTTGGGCGAGAAAGGACAAGTCACCGAGGCTGGGGCCAGTAATTTCTTCGCGGTCGTCCGAGACGAAAAGACTTTCAAGCCGATTCTACTCACGGCGCCGTTGACGGATCGAGTTATTCTCGATGGTGTTACCAGAAGGTCTGTTCTGGATTTGGTTGAAAGTCGGCTTTCCCAGGAGCTCGAGGTCAGAGAAGCAAAATTTACAATCAAAGATGTTGAGAAGGCTTGGAAAAATGGTCTCCTTCAGGAGGCTTTCGTGTCTGGCACTGCTGTGAGTAGCCCCCAATCAACCTGTGGGGCGATTGACTAACTCGTCGTAGTTCTTCATCAAGAATGTATCGACCATTCGGGTTGGTGATTTTAACATCGACTTGCCGCAGAAGCAAGACGATGGGAGTGCATTTGGCCCACGGATCAAGAATTGGTTGAAGGATATTATGTTCGGAGCCGAAGATCATGAATGGGGTGTTATTGTCGATTGAGAGAACGCCGAATAGATTTTCCCGTATTATTCAGATCAATTGTACAAAGATTGCAAAGTGGTTGTGCTGTTGTTTATTATACTACCGACAGATTTAATGTTTGGCAGCCAGTAGGGGGACTATCGCCATTGCGCAAAATCCCTCGTGCGACCCAGACGATGTGGGGCTGGGAAGGCCTCAAATCCTTAAAGTCTCCCGTTGCTCCTCTTTCTCGTGCATCTCATGTCGAAGCCAAGCAACGAATCCCATAATCCAAATGGTCAAGCACGCTCCAGTGACTCTAGGTGTTTTGGGTCGATACTATTCGGCCCGGCATACTTTGGGACAGTACCGCTCAGCATGTGTAACAGCAACGTACAGAATATCGTTCCCGGATGACTCATTGTTGAACGAACTTGATAATGCACTCGAACATGCTCTACAAGCCACTATTCGAGAGCATGCCGGTCTACGGTATGGCATTTGCGACGAGAAGGTAGATGGTGTTCCGCTGTTCAGGCAGATCCGCACGTTCGACTCCCAGGACGTGATGAAAGTCGTCACAAACCGACCTCATGCTGGGGAAGGTGAGGGTATGTCGGATGAGCGTCTATCCAGAGAGCTCGAAAGCCGTCATTCGGAGCTTTGGCCTGAGAACAAGCCAGCTTGGAAGGTTGTTGTCCTCAAGGATACGAACAACTGCAAGCCAGACCGCTCTCTCACAATGCACATTGCCTTCTTTGCACACCACGCTATTGCAGATGGATTAAGCGGCGTTGCTTTCCATGCATCACTGATGAGCAATCTTAAACTCGACACAGCCATTTCTGCGAAATGGCCCCTGGAGTTGAACGAGATACAAAACCCTCCGCCAACAATCGAAGAAAGTGTGGATTGTCTTTCGTGTAACTGCACTGTCTGCACAACTCCCGACAAATCTGACGATCCAGTTTGGGCGGGAGGTCCTATATCTACGGCACCGACGGAAAACTACAAGTCCCGTGTTAGAATAGTGACAGTCCCCGCGGCCCCATTTTCCGACTTGCTGAGAAAATGTAAGCAGGCCAATGTCACAGTCACCGGTCTCCTACACGCAATCATATGCACTTCCTTAAAACGTTCTATCAAGGAAGATGTCCCTGGCTTCCGAGCTGTTACGCCCTTTTCAGCACGACGACATACTGGAGCATGTGACGCAGAAATCGTCAACCATATCTCTTATATGACGAGCTATGTATCCCAAGAAGATCTGCAGAGGATTGAGGACTGCGCACGTGGTTCTGCAGCTGAAGAGCAGCATATTATAGATCTTGCGCGCCGGTTCAGCAACGAAGTAGCGACAAAGGCCAAAGAGTTCCCGCATGGAAGTATGGCTACGAAACTCAGTCAAGTCCAGGATATCCTACAAGAATGTCAAAGCCAAGGCGGTACAGAGAGACGGTACACATATGAGCTTTCGAATCTGGGCTCAGTTTCAAGCATTTGTCCGCTAGAAGGGAGTGGTATCAAACTTGACAGATTGGTCTTCACACAATGCGGGTTTGTTGCTGGTCCCGCGTTGGGATTCAACTGTGTTAGCACTAGGGGAGGGGATTTCACTATCAGTATTACTTGGCAAAGAGGGATTGTCGCAGAATCTGTCGTGGAAGACGTTGCTCAAGAGCTAGAAACACGACTTGGGACTTTTCAGTAATCCTACGAAATTCTTTACTCTTTCTTTGTTTTATCCCCAGCTGGTCCGCTTTTGTAATCTGATCTCTCAATGCAACTTAAATGGCGAGGCTGATGATATGCACACCTGAAATGAATGCATTTCTTCGTATCACGATGCAAGCCCAGCGTGTCTCAATGAGGTCACTCATTGCCTGCGGGAAGCTAACGTAGTTGTCGTTGTGGGGCATATAATGTAGACCTACAGCTACAGGTGGAGAGGCTCTGAAGGGCGTATTTTCAGGCGCAAATTCACCGCTTCACGCTAAGTCTTGGTGCAAAGCCGTTCGGTCGAGGGCGTGAGCCCGGGCGCAACATGACCTCGCCGATGTTCGCAGGCGACAAGGCGTAGAGCTTAAGGCGTAGGGCGCTGCAGTTCTTTGATAAGAGCGATATTTTCAAGTTCTGCGTAGTGGCCCAGATCACGACAGAATGGCACCTGAAACGAAATCAGAAGATGTGAAGGAATGGATCGTCCTTGTTCCCGACAACAGAGGCTCGTTAGAGACGCGGATGAGAGTCAGAGAGTAAGTGATGCAATACCTTGATCACGACTCTTCAAAGATACAAACTTCATTCAGAACACATATCAAGGAAATGCTCAAACATATCGACTCTGGATTATTCCAAATGGGCGGGGGCACTTTGGATGGAGATAGCGTTGACGGAAGCGCCATCATCGCCCGTGCCAAATCCGAAGCCGATGTACTAGCTGTCCTCAAGAATGACGTCTACGCCAGAAGCGGAGTCTGGGATTTAGAAAATATCAAGTTCATTCCTGTATGTGTACCAATCCAAGACGAGATTGTAATTAACGAAGGAATAGTTTAAATGCGTGTATAGACGGGAGCATATTGACGGTGCTGTCATGGGCGCTGCATGGAAATTCTGAAGCGGGGTTATTGGCTTAGATTAATAATTCAGGGTACTTATATAAGGTCCAGTCCACTAATTCACATCCCATCTCACTAAAACCAACACCAGTCAACATCAACCATGGAGTCAATGGTAATTCTTCAAAAAGGCAGCGGCCTCACCCAAGGGAATATCACCTTGCCTCCCCTGAAAGAGCATCAGGTCTATGTCAAGGTTGAATACGCAGCCTTCAATCCAACTGATCGTACGTTCGGCCGCCTATGATAGAAACTTCGTGTCGCTGATTTGGTAAGGCCTGGCTCTTGACGTCAACGCCTTCGGAGACGGCGCAGTACTCGGCTGTGACTTTGCTGGTAAAGTCGTGGAAGCCCATTCAACTGTGACTAAATTGAAGCCCGGCGACAGTATTGCTGGTTTTGTATGGGGCGGTGGGTTCAATAAGGCCTTAATATGTCAATAGAGGAGAAGCTCACATGTTGTAGGAGAGATCAAGGGCCTAGGAGCCTACTCGTGAGTTTGTGTGACATTGATGGCATCTTCGATGAAGCTGATCAAAATTCGCAGGACGTACACAATCGCTGATGAGCGACTTTCCTTCAAGATACCCGAAAACATCAATCCGGCTGAGGCTTCATCAGTACCTCTGGCCGCTAACGCAGCATGGCTTGCTCTGTTCTCGGACGATTGTCTTGCGCTCAATACCGACGATACAGCTGGTAAAACCCCGCTATTGATCTGGGGAGGTAACAGTACGTATTCAACTCAGTATTTGATGTGTGAACATACTGAGTGATTGATAGCAACCGTTGGCTATTTCGCCATTCAGATCGCCAAGCTTTATAATATCGAAGTCGCTACAACCTGCAGCCCTAAAAGCTTCGATAAGATGCGACAAGCTGGCGCAACTCATGTCTTTGACTACAACGATGAGGACGTCGTATCCAAGATCAGATCTGCACTTCCAAACCTGCAGCATGTGTTTGATACAGTTGGTAACGAAACCTCCTCAGCGACTGCAGCAAGGTCAATCAGCCAACCAGAAGGTGTGCTATGCACCGTTCGCCCAGGCAAAGCAAACACCCAAGATGTTCCATCTCATGTCAAGGTCACGGATGTATTCGTATTTACTGCTTTTCCTACAGAGCATAGTTATCGCGGTAAGGCGCATTGGCCTGTAAGTGTCATCTGTATTCGCTGCCAATTTACCTGGGGTCGTTCTTCTAACATGTTGATAGGTGAAAATAAAGGATCACAAACTGAGTGCCGACTTTCATGGTCAGTTAGAGACGCTACTTGGGAACGGATCTCTTAAGCCGTCTCCCATCCGTCATATGGGACAGCTGAGCCCGTCTTCCGTTGAGAAAGCGATGGATCTCAACCGGCAAGGTTCGATCTCGGGCGAAAAGCTTGTCTTTGAAGGCTTTTCCTAGGATGTCAGCCTGCGATGATTGTCCAACATTGGAATAAGATGCATCCGATCAAAGTAGTTCCTTTGCTTACCAAGCAATAGAAAAAAGAGAGAAAGTCGCTTTCATCACTCCAAGATCCACTGACGTATCTCGATGCTACGTAAACACCATCTCCACTTGGCCAAGAGAAACAAAGGTCCCTCGTATACATCCGTCACAGCCACTTACTCATCATCCCAAGAACCATCAAGCTATGACAAATATTCCATCCCCTTGGCACTTCTGTAAAAGAACCTCTTGGCCGCATCTATCAGGCTATTTCCCAAGATAATCATCTCTTGATAAGCACGCAAAATACCAAGCAGCGGGGTCGAGATAAAAGGCTGTATACAGATCGGGAAGTTGGTATTATGCATATTTCTTAGTGTCGGCTTGGCATGTTGCATCGTCAATTACCGACCTTCCCGATTCAACGCTGATCTTCACGGACTAGTTGCCAAACACTGGTGATTACTCCGTGATAGAGATATTTGCGGGGCGGATCACGCAAGATTGTTGAAGAATTGAAGGAACTTGTGTTGATTGATGAGGGGTTGCGTATTTATTCTGGCCATTTTCCGGGTATAAAGGTGAAAGGTTTCTTCTCGCCATTGTTGCCTCTGAATGCGACACAAAGCCATTCATCATGAAGTTGACTACAGCTGCTGCCCTTCTGGCTCTTTCGCCTTTGGCGGATGCTACCAAGCCTCCAGTGAGCTCAAAGAGGCTTCAAAAGCTAATCACTGAAAAAGGGTACGTCATAGAACACCATTCAGATGCCTTCCGCTGACCACTCCAGGTTGATGCACAACTTGAAGAAACTCAATGACATCGCCTACGCCAACGGAGGAAACCGTGCCTTTGGTCTTCCAGGATACGCTGCCTCAGTGGACTTTATCTATCACGAGATCTCTAAGCTGAAGGGCTTCAAGACATGGAAGCAAGACTTTCCTGCCAACTTCACTCAAACTCTTGCAGCTGAGGTCACCGTCGATGACGAAACTTTCAGGACTGTCGCTTTGACTTACACCCCCAGCACTTCTGAGGACGGTGTAACAGCTGAGCTTGTCCATGGTCCTGAAGGTACAGCTGCATGTGATGCCGCAAACTATGAGGGGCTCGATGTTGAAGGAAAGGTTGTACTCGTCGAGCGTGGTCTTTGCCCTGATGGTACTACTTTCGCAGGCAAGGTTAAACCTGCAGCTGCTGCTGGTGCTCAAGTCGTTGTTATTTATAACTCAGACGAGGCCAAGCTCACAGCTGGTACCCTATCAGCCCCTAACCCAAAGGAGTACGTCCCCACTGGTCTTATTGATCAAGACCCCGGAAAGGCGCTCAAGGCTCGTCTCGATGCTGGTGAGAAACTCGAGGTGTTTGTCAAGATCATCCAGACCATCGAAACGCGCATCACCCAGAACGTCTTTGCCGAAACCAAGGGAGGCGATGGCGAGAACGTCGTCATGCTGGGAGCTCATCTTGACTCAGTCCAAGCAGGCCCTGGTATCAACGATGATGGATCGGGAACTTCGCTCATCCTCGAAACAGCAAAGGGTCTGCAGCACTTTTCCACCAAGCTCAAGATCCGATTTGGATGGTGGGGTGCTGAGGAGAACGGCCTTGTTGGATCTCGCTACTACGTCAACAACCTCAAGACCCCGGACGTCGATAATCTCTTGGCGTATCTGAACTTCGACATGGTATCTCGTGGTTTCTTCGGTGTTTTTGATGGAACCGGTGAGAAGGTTGGTCCTGGTGGACCTCCAGGCTCTGACGTTATCGAGGATCTTTTCAGAGAGTTCTTTGAGAAGGAAAAAATCGAAGTTACACCCGTTGGCTTGACTGGTGGAACTGATTATGTTGCCTTCCGGGAAGTCATCGAGAAGCCAGTTGGTGGTCTCTTCACTGGCACTGGTCTTGAGCAGGATGCTTGTTATCACCAAGCTTGCGATAACATCACGAACCCCGTTCCTGAGACGCTTCACATCAACGCGAAGGCTGCTGCACATGTTCTAAGCAAGCTCGCCATTGATGGTGTTAAACTTATTCCTAAGACACCGTCCAACACTACGGTTGGTTCTATCAAGAGGGTTAGAGATGCGGCTTCGTTGCATTTGCATGATGTCACTGGTTTCGAAGGAAAGCCCTGTGATCATGACATCATCTAAAGGGTCAATGAATGAACCTCTATATTTATAGGTATGAAGAATTAGGATATTGCAGACCGTCCCGGCTGTTGCTGTTTCTGTGAATTGCCCCTTGATATGTTAATGTCATCGGCTTAAAATATCGCCACCACCCTCTGCCTAAGTCCGGTTGACAGAGACCCAAAAGTGGCAAGACCGGGCTGCTCAAGATACGCGGCGGCCTCTTGAAAACACCTCATCCAAATATCCAGTCTGATGGGAAGATTGTCCCACAGAGCTTAACCTTAAAGGCTGCTGTCATTCCCATAGTTCCAGAGAGAACGTGCATATCGCTAAAAGCCAGTGTCGCCCTTAATTCCCAAGTACTCAGGAGCGCCGCTACGAAGTCGCTGGGGGTCTATAGCAATTTCGTCTAGTCTCTTCATCCATCCTTCAAGATCAGAAGGCAGATAAGGCAATGTCATGCGAGAATCCTCGTGCTGGTGGTCTCTCTACACGACACCACAGTCCTCTGCGTGTCTCAAGTTTTTCTCTGTAAGCTCCCGCCTATTGGTTTCTTCTAGGTTGCCTTGGATCTTTGGAGCCCAAACGTCTCGGATAAATGAGCTCCTGTCTGAACTGGATATACTGCCGCTTCTGATCTCAAACTCCTCGACAAGGTCTTCGAGTAACTGAAGGAAAGCGGAGTCCTCATCATGAATCTCCTCAATGTCGTCGGACTCCCAAACAGGGATTGATCCCATGTTCTCAAGGCCATAGCATGTATGACGGAGCCCTAGGGCAGAGAATGTAAGATAGCGTAAGACGGCTGGATACACCCAGCTGTATGCGCCACCAATATCAGGGAGCAGCGCTTGAAGACTCTCCGACAGCTTCGTCAATCGATCCATAAGAGTTTGGAGCCCTTCAAATGACCAAGTACGCCACCCAAGGCCTTCTAAGAATCTAATCAGAGGTGTGCAGCCTTTCAAAGAGCAGTGACATTGGCTTTCTCCATAAGCAGCGTCTGAAAATGTTACCTTGGAGACTTTTAGCGGCAATATATCATAAGCAACCCAGTTCCATCTCAACCCGTTCCCAAATGAAGCCATCAGATAATGAGCCCAGGTTGTACATGGTGTAACACCCGGTACAAGGTCCAACGGAACATCCGATGCAATGTCGACACCATCATCGACTATCCAATCAATATAAGATAGGTCGGGCCTACCATAGCATTTTCCTTGTATGACGCTCTCTACAATGGAGCGGAAAACGTCGATGAAAGCATGTTCCCTGCTGAACCCATTTGACAACGCAATTTCTGCAGTTTCTCGGTCACATATATACTCATAAATAGACTTTGGCCTTTTGGATGCGTGAGTTAATTTGTCCTGCTCAAATACCATGATACTCTTTTCAATATTGCATGATCGAGCTGTCAGACAGCTTTGGACGTTGGCAGCGTTTCTATCAAGAGTCTTCCCTTGGCATAAGCCGAGCTCCTTGATTTCTTCAGTGGGTAATGTAGTCGCCGCAAGTAGTTCCAAGCTATTCCTTCTTTGTGCAAGGTGCTGGATAATGGATGTTTTGGTACGTAGACAGTGACTCTCTAAACCCATATCTAGGGAGTGTTGGAACAATACTGACGATGATTCGAGAAGGAGGTCGACCATTTTGTAAGCGTCATTATCTTGCTTTTGTGAGGATTTGAACATTGCATAGTCAATCGGGTAAAGCTGGATGTTATCAGTGCAGTTGAGTATGTCGGGATCAGCTGCTTCTAGGATAATCGAGAGAAGATTGGGATTTCCGACTTGGATAGCTATGTGGACTGGCGACCGTCCACAGTAGTCCACTTCTCTCATGTACGATGGGTATTGTTTTACTAAGAACTGGACAGTTTCTTCCTCTTCCGTCAGAATTGCTTGACTAAGCGGGTTGAACCCAAAATCTGTATTCGTTCAGGGTCTTTTCATTCAAGGGACTAGGAGTATAGTATATGCATTTAGTTACAGACGTACTTCCAGCTATTTGAGGGAACTCTTTGAGAGCCTCGATGTTGCGTGAAGGCGTATGAGGTGACCCCTGATAGGCATGCCTTGTTAAGTCATCGCAGCATGCCAAAAGTGTTGACATGGTTTCCATCCGGTCTTTTATCTTGATTAACCAATCACTTTCAGTCACTAGAGAAAGAAAATGCAGGCTATTTGATAACTGTTTACGTCTTTCACTTTCTAGTGGTGAGCAACTAGAGATTAACCTACTTAGTATCAGGATTATGTGCCACTGGCACATTAATGGCGGCTAGAGCACGAAAGATGTATGCAATATCATCTACCGGTATTTTCTTTAATTCAAACCGCTGCAAGCAGGAAATTCAGTATATAGTGGCTGACAAGATAAAACTGAACTCACCCCTCGACACAGTCTCGCTGCCAGAATATCGAGTATCGACTGACCGCATGCATTCGTATCAGACGGTGACGCCAGGTGATTGGTGTAACAGAGCTCAAGTCGTCTAATACAAGATTCTGCGACTGCTTAGTGATATTCAGCCCCTAGAACTTGACCAGGCCCCCTTTTCAGGGCACATAGGCTGTCAATTATCCTAAATGCTGGTGAGGAATGTTCGTTGATCGTTGCGGTCCAGGTAATGTTCTGGGCTAGGTTCAGTCCACCAGCGCCAGTTTTAAGAGACATTGAGAAGCGGACAGCATGCGACAATATTCTCGTAATGCGTGGAACGGAAAACCCGATGGCATTCATCTTCTTTTGAGTCGGCGATACCAGTTTTGAAAAGCGACATTCTGGTGTATGGTAGACTGTTTTTTCAAGCTCTGTTTCGAAGAACAACATTCCCCAGCGAACTTCCTTGCGGATCCGGTCACGACGTCTTGCACCATAGCAACATTGATTCCCACGACTTTGGACGTTCTTGAAATTGGCTTTCGGGATTCCATGGTCTGCCATTTGAGTCGCGACGTGAGGCGATAGATTCCTCACAGCATCGCACAACGTTTTGAGATCCTGTTGATATGCCACCAGTTGAGCGGATTGATGTTGAGCGTTGGGAATATTGCGTAAATGGGACAGAATCTCGTCGATTCTTGGATCAAACGGGGCTAATGATACTCGTTGCGATATATTCTTGATCTCTTGGTGAGATTGAGTCAAGGTGTCATTCGCCAGCTTCAAGGCCCCTGATTGCTGCAGCGTTGCCCCAGAAATGTTCCCGGCTGTCACCTGGATGATGTTGACAGAATTTTGTAAGTCCAGAATAGCTTTCTCCTAATTATTCAACATGGCCCTGAAATGGCAACACACGTGAGTTGTAGGCATCAAGCTAATTCAAATGGAAGTCCTTACAGATGCAATGCCGATAATGACAACTTTATGATACTATTTGCCGACTCTAATCTTTCCTCCAGTCGGGAAAGATTTCTCTGTTTGAAAGGGTAATTCCATTTCTGCAGAGACCCTTTGACCTTGCTGATAGGATCGTCTGAGGGAATCTGTGGCCCTTTCAAGTCGTTGAGAAGCGCATCGAGAGCAGTGAGTTCAGCTTCGCATGAAACCTTGCAGTCTTGAACGACGTGTTTGGCTGCAGCTTGTTCATCGTTGACCTTGAGGATTGTGTCGCCAAGGACTTTCAGCGATGCTTGGAAGGCATTGACATACTGCTTAGCCCGTTGCAGATCTTCGTCTCGTCCCTTCACGGCGTCGAGATATTGAGTGATTCCAGTGTATAACTGAAGACCAAACGAAATTACACCGATAGCATTACCGGTTATGCCGACTGGATCTGCCATGCCAATAGTAATGTTGTTATGACAGACGTTGATGTTTTACGCAGGAGGGGAAACGTAAGGATGGTTACTGCATGGAAAGTGGCCCAGTTATGGCTTAGCAGAATTAGGTCAGCCTACAGCCTAACCGTCCCATGTTGTGTAACCACCCCATTGGTGTTTGGCTTGGGTCCAACTGCCACCAGATGTTGACTGATTATCAGCGAAACTAAGCACTTATAGAGAGAATGATGAGAAACTCGTCAAGTACGAATTTATACCACGAAAGGCAAGAAGTCAATTCAATCCCAAGAAGTTGAAAAGAATTTGTACTAGTCTGTAGAAGCAGCCCCAAATGAACGGCACAACGAAGCTTTGTTTTCACACACACACCCCCCCCCCCCAGCAATCAATCTATCCCACCTTTCTCCACTAGGCGATTCAGGGAAGGGTTTTCCATCAAATTGTGACTGGCAGCGGATGAGTCGCGCCTCGTCCTATACGTCCCAAAAGATAACAGTTGCTACTCGGACATAGATAGTAGACCCTAAAGGTACCACAAATAGTTCGAACTTTGGTATAGGCGTCTTCAATAAAATTTCGTGCCTAGTAGTTTCATGAAATATGCGTATGTAATTTCGTTGGAAATTTACTCTTCTATCAGTCGTCTAAGGGAAATCAATGGCTCGAGATGCCTCGTTCCTCCAGTCCGGCGAGAGCGTCATCACCTTTCTAGTAGAGATTGTCAGCATGACACACATAATAGAAAGAGCACATGGGATCAGATCCGACAGTTATGGTATAGTTCTGGCATGAGAATCGGCGACAAGGAAATATGATAGATGTTACTGTTGTCGAAACGACTGACCTGGTGAAACGATAGCGGGGAAGATACCTGTAAATTCGACCTACTGGGACCCTACTCATAAGTGGGGCTTCTGATAGGTCAGATCTACGGATAAGCAGTCTTGGGGAGGAAAGAAAACTCAGGACCTTGATCCTGCATAATAAAAAGACTCAGATAGCTTAGTATAAGTCTAAGATACCTTTATTAAGTTTATTTCATCTCTCTATACTGAGGTTTAATATTTTCTTACTCCTTAAGGGCAGTTTAATATTAACTGTTACCCTATCTAAAAGGCCATCTTAGCTATTATAATTCAGAGAACGTAAACATAAATATATCTGATAGGGAGCCCTAATATATACCAGTGCGACCTCCTCAAGCTGCCATATACGCATTGCTTTCAACTTCACGATTGGCTGCCCCTTTATGAAACTACAAACTAGGGTTATTCTACGTTAGATGCATAATTTATACATCGTAGGGCTAGCTGTGTATATCGTATTAAGCTTAACTGCATCCTCTGCCAGCTAAGCACGGCAAGCTCTAAAAGTCCTCACTGTATAGCCGGTCCAAACACTCCAGATAGCATATCAACATTCTCCACAGCTATCAGTGCCATAGAGCACGTCATCAGAGCGCAGAAAGTTTGATTCAAATTTAATCGTTATTCATGATCTTCAGTTATTTAAGCTCGTCCTACAGTAAAACTAGTACTCTTGTTGAAGAGCTTCCTCTGCATGTCGGCGACCATGACGCTTAGCTTCCTCTCGATCAATAAAGTCCAGACCCTTAGTCTCAACCTCTCGATCGACGAAAGCACCAATGGCTCCAGCAATAAACTCCTTAGCCTTGGCGTGGCTATCGGGCTTACCTACATGATCGTCAGCGAACGGCTGGTGAACACGAGCCATATAACATACCATTGCGGGCTACGTGCTCCTCATATGCCTTAGCGGCCTCAAAGGCAGCGGCACCGCCGATGAGCTCGTGGGATAGCTTAGCTTTGTGCTGCTCGTTGCCGGAGTCGGAGTACTCGTTGTACTGCTCGAACTTCTCGACGATCTCGGTGTTGTCTAGGTGATTAGTTAGCTAACAGCACTGAACATATAGCTTAGGAGAACTAACTATCGAACCAGCCCATTGTGAATGATGTATTTGGTGATAGTAAATAAAGTGATAAAGATGTAGGATGTTTGAATAAAGATTGATGCACACAGAAAAGCTCAAAACTTTATACCTTGAGGGGTCCAGGGGTCTTCTACCTAGACCAGGCTACTCTACTCTATTCTGCACATGTCGATTCTATTCTAAACTTGGAAACAGGCGGGCTGCCTCGAGCAAGTTTCAAGCCATGACGGTGTGCGAGCCAGTAGTGGCTGAAGTCGTAGCTCATCGGATCTCACGGCTCATAACACAAGGGCCACTTCGGCAATCGATGCCGTGCGAGCTCGGATAAGCGGCGCGCTAGAACTCCACTGGAGGACGTAATCATCAATCAACGCGATGATGGGCTGTGGAAGATGGGGGTTTCAGCTGGCATTGACGAATGTATTTCTTGACAGTCTACGCGGTGACTGTAGATGCCGTGTTTGCCGAGAGTTTGAGGGGATTGCTACAGGTTGCTAATACTGCGTGGGAATGGCGTGGCGGGGGATAGCTATGAAGTCATGGAATTATCGCGGGTTTACGAGATTGGCATCCCTGGAGGCGAGGGGGGCTGTCTAAAGAGGTATCAGAGAGACTAAAATAAAGGCGACAGGAATAAGATGAGCAGGCGTGAGCGTATATTTGACTTAGTTTCTGTCTAGATACTTCTGTCACCTCAATTGTTGTATGCTGGTGAGCGTTGTTGTTGTTGTGATGCCCCGACTGGCTGTCCCTCACCGTGACGCGGGGCTCCTCTCCCGTCCCGTTCATAACGTCCAAGCGCATCCAGCCCACTGTCCCGGTACACAGTGGTCGTCATACCTGGATAGAATGACGGTGAAGCAAGCTGGGTCTGGGCTCCACGGCTTACCAGCTTAACCAGCCAGGCTCGTCGATCTGGGCCCTTGACGCCGCAATGGCTTCGGCATGATCTAAAATCGTCCCGAGTGATCTAATTGGCGTCCGGCAGTATCCGCGCGTGGCGGGGTCTTCAAAGCTCTGGGGCCTCCAATGAATTTGAGTTTCTTGCTGCATCATCCTGAGACACCTTCATCCGGCTGGGTCATCTTGTAATTGAATCGCTGTAGCAGCTCTTTGTGTAACGCGTCGTAGCCAGGGCCAGTATGTGGTATTAATCCATTGGCGCAGTAATTGCAAAGACGCGACGATTTGGTAGATACCGAATATGTTGCCCGTCGAACCGAGTGAGGTCTCTGACCAGATCACCTTGATCAATTAGCACAGCTGCGACAATGACGCGGGGTAAACTTACGGTTCGAGAGTCTTGACGACTTGCTGCGATAAAGGTCCACGTATTTCCCTGCACGATCAACCCAGGCAAGAAGCCCAGATCATCAACCGAAGGCGTCCTCCCTCCATCGTCAACAGGTGCAGAAGCACCAGCGTCAACGAGTCGCTGAAGCAGCGTCAAATGTGCTGTTAAAAACGTCGCGACTTGGAGATTGGCAGTGTCCATGCCTTCGCCGGGACGCTTAGTCTCGATGGGAATGGCAATTGGATTGCTCAACAGTGACAAGTCATCGGTTGGGTTTATTGATAGCGCTGGAAGACGCGCGCGAACGGTGTCGACGGTGCTGGAAATGCTTGTATCGTTCGGATCGTGGTGAGGATCGAGATAGACGCAAAAGTCGATCTTTTTGTCAGGCGCGAAGCGGATGCGGTAGTCGGGGATGATGGATGCAGATGAACTGCCATTGTTAGAAGAGAAACGAGATGAGCTATTACGGTGAACTCACCAAGAAGCCACATTGACATGCCGTTGGAACGCACGCTTTGATCGATCCCGAAGCGCCAAGCACAGCAGAGGGAAGTGAACTTCATGATTCCACGCTACTTCAGACCTACCCATGCGAAGACAATCACCCGCGCATTCAAGAATATACACCACATCCTCGGGACTCGGTGTAATCCCCAATTCGTCGCAACTCGCAGAGCAGCAGAATTCTTTATCCTCGTACAAAGCAGCCATGTCCGGATGTAACGCCCTCGCAGCTGTTTCATCTTGTATATTGTCCAGCCCATTCTCCCCAAGAATTCCTCTTCCACGACTGAATTGTAATAACTTCGTTCGCATAGCTGCCAGGCTTGGGGGAAGACCGGACGGATCAGACATGGCGCGCGTTTCGAGGCCGTGTGAGGATAATGCCATGGCTGCTAATTGCTTTCGAGGCGACGAAGCACCAGATCGACCGCTCGTTGAGGACTTTGATGATGTATCGCTGGGTGGATGGACGCTCCGTAGAGGCCTGGGAGCCTTTTCTTGTTCGCCTTCATCGTCGAATTGCGCATTGTCTGGACTTGGATTTGGGACTGCACCCTTCGTTGTCTTTCGCTTCTTTGTTGGTGCCTTTTCGGCAGCTGCTTTGGAGAATTTAGGAGAGTCTGGAGGTGATTTCGGATGCACAAACTTATTCTCCATAGGTTCGAACATTGGTAAATGATCGGAACTGGTCAAGTTGTAGCTGCGCTTTCGCTTGCGAGTCGATCGTGTCGCTTTTGGTGGTTTCGCTGGGTCGAGCTCGTGAGGGTCTGCAGTATCGTCGACCTGGCGCAGCCACAAGAGGATATCGACAGTCATTTCTGAGGGTTCAGGCTATCGTAGAGGTAAAATGAAGCGCTTAATGTACCGGTATTAACATTTTGGCTGTTCGTGGTGATGCTGTGATGCTTGATTGCGTAGATCAATTGAACGACCTGAAATGGAAAGGTGAAGATTGACTCGACAACAGCCACAAGTGCACAGCCACATCGCATCACTAGCCACGGCTTACCCTGAAGCTGAACACCAAAACCCAGACATGGTATTCAGCGAGAGTCTGACCGTCATATGATCAAGTTGATGGATGGCAAGCATAAAATAACTCATGTAATATCATTAGATAGCAAGAGAGACAGGTCATGTGCATTGAGATATGTTGTGGTTGGAGACTTTATGGCTATGACGGTAAATGACCTCCAATAAAAGCAACCCATGACAGCTTCGTAGACACAAATGGGTAACACTTCATCGGCAACCTTGGCCCTCAGTCTCCATGTCTCACAAGAAACTGCAGCCCAAGGCATACCCCCAATCTCTCAGCATCACTCACAAACGGACGTCGCTTCACATCCGCTGCATCCTAACCGACCCAGCCACCAAGCGCATTTTCGCGGTCCACGTCCCTCCAGCCGGGTCCAATGCCGTGATCATCTACGACGGTCCAGACGCAGCATCCCCCCGTGCTCGCAACCGCTGCAAAAACGCCACATAGAAGCACGATTTTCGCATTAATCTCGCCGCACTGATAGAAGGTCAAGACACGCGCGAGGAACTACTACGATGCACGACTGTGAGTAAACGAAAGGAAAGTTATTGGTTTGTATGCAGCTCGGCAACAGCGTTGGACGATTTGAATGGCGCTCCACGCGTGCGCAGGGACAAGGCTGGGGATGGAAATTGGTCAAAGACGATGAGGAAATCGTGGCTATTTTTAAATCTCATAGGTCTTTGGGACGAGACAAGATTGGTGATTTGACATTTACTGGGAGTGGCATGAGTGGACAATTCGGACGACAGTGGGAAATGATGGTGTTGACGACTTGGGCTTGCGTTTGGTTCAAACATATCTAACTTGGACGACTAATTATGCAAACATTATGCAAATTATACCATCGATCGTGAGAATAGACGCGTAAAGTGATCTGCCAAAGAATCGGGTACCTTACGATGGTTCCACAACGCGTCGATCAGAAAAAACCCCATGACGTCGTGACTTTTCGCACCTAAATCCTGCCACGTAAGCGCCCATACCATCATAACGCCTCTCGTATATCGAAACTATCTTTTTAACAATTATAGAAATCTCTACAAAGTAAAATCCATTGCCGTTAACCCGAACCGTCAATTGAGGCTGAGCTGGTTGTCGCCCCAACAGCCCAGCCCCTAAACCCCAGACCATCTGCTGTAACACGGCATGGAACCCTTGTCTTCCTCACTGCAACATTGAGGCCTCACGATGAAAGTCACGACGGTTGTGAGCTATGCATTTTTAGCAGCGGGGGCTTTAGGGAAGGAGGAGGTAAGAACAGTATGCGGAAATCAGCGGTATGGCGAACTAAATGACTCACTGTCATGTACGTTCAATCTCACCATGGACATGGGTATTGCTGACAACTGCAGATTACCCAAATGCATGGAACAAAAAGAGTCCCAAGAACGGCTTCGTATGCCTCAAAGTCGACAACAGCACGCCTGCATTCTCCGCAACGTGGAACTGGCCCAAGGACATCCAAGACGTACACTCCTTTCCCTACGTGCGCTTCAACAACCCGAGTCTCCCCGTGCGTCTCAGCGACTTGGAGTCTATCCGCTTATCAACAGATTGGATCTACACACCAGGAAGTCCGTCGAAAATACCGGATGATTTTAGTAATGAGGTCTGGGGGAAGAATAAAGCGGCGTTAGAAGGGGACGGCGTGCAGGCGAATGCGGCATGGGATTTCTTCCTTGATGATGATAGGAATAGAACGCTGTATCCGCAGGTTGCGGCGGTGGAGTTCATGGTTTGGCTGGGAAGGGTGGGCGATCCGTGGTGGCTTGGACGGCAGAACGATAGTATCCTGTCGACTGTTACGCTTGGGAAGACGGAGTTGTAAGTACACCACTCGTCCTTCACTGCAAATACTGACCGCTGCAGCTCGCTCTTCTATGGTCGAAACTCAGGAGGTACGCACGTCTTTACAGCCGTTACAAAAGACAACAGCGACGTACTATCCTTCGATGAGGATTTCTACCCTTTATTCCAGTACATCCTCAAACAAGCCCACAAACAAATCGACGCAGATGATCTACCGAAAGATCCTTGGCTAGGCATCATTGAGTTTGGGACAGAGACGTGGATGTCAAGGGGAAACGCCACGTTCACAGCCGCGAATTTTGGGATGAGTTTGAAGGGCAACTTTACGAGTGAGAGGAATTCCACAAAGAAGGGAGATGACGATAAGGATAAGGGTGATAAAGATAAAGGGGTTGAGAAGGGAGGTGATAAAGGTAGTGGGGATAACTCGACGGATTCGAAGGGTGATGAGGAGGATGATGCGGTGAGATTGATGAGTCAATCGGTGTTGGGGTATGTCATTGCAGCGGCGTTGGCTATCAGTGTGGTTCTTTCTTGAGGATATTCATAGCAAGCGTGCATCAGCATCTGTATAGCGCTGTTTTGTATCATTGGCAGGAATTGTTGTCTTCCTTCAAAGGAAGCATCTGTTTACAGGAGGATGAAGTTGCAAATTGGATTCTGGGAACATAAACAAAAAGACACAGCGATCAGCGATATAGGAAAGCCCCACCGAAGCGATTTGGGCTCGAAGATCTAATCTATCAGCGTATATAGTCTCTATGAAGATTGGCTTCGCATCCTTCGGTTGGTGGGCCGACTACAAGGGTCCATCAACCTAACTTCAGACATCGACTCACCTTATTCCCTCAACCCACGATCTTCACTCCATCACATCCCCCAACCACCATGACATTACACACCTCACCTGCCGAAAGCCGTCTCCGACGTGCCATCCACGCCCTTCCCTTCCTCCTAATCACAGCCATCATGTCACGCGCCTTCGCAATGGCAAAGCCAATCGGTCCTATAATCGAAGAAACTGTCAAAACCTCCGTCTTCACAGTGCAAGACATTACCGTGCCTATTATCAAAAATTTCTACGGCGTACCTGTGCTAGATGATGTTTTCGCTGTGGTCACTGTTGCCTTTGCGCATTTGCAGTTCTTTACGGATGAGGAGGCGTATTGGCAGCTTTTAGTGTTCTTGACAGATTTTGCAGGGATGTATGCTGTTGTGATGATTGAGGGGTATAGACCGGGGAATACGTTTCCTGTTATCAAGTAGTAAGTTACATTTCAGAGTTTGAAGTTCTTGCTAACATGATTAGCCCTGTTGTGTTTCTGTTTCTCTCTCAGATGTTTGGCATAGGCTGTCTTGCGCCTATCTTTTTCTTCCTGTTCTATGTCTTTACGCCTACTTACAAACTCACAACACCGAGTCTGTATCGCCCAGGCCTTGCATCTTGTATGGCTATTTTGCCTACGATTGTGCTGGGATATTATATCACCCACTTTCCATCGTTCTTTCACTCTTCTCTTGAGGCGAGGAATTGGTGGAATTGGATTTGGCAGCTGTTTCCTATCTGGGGCTCCATCATCATGCTTGTGCTATCGAAGATCATTCCTCAGCCAAAGGAACAGACAAAAAGGACATTGAAGCAAGAGATTAACGCCATCCGACTCACAATCGGTGTCATCAGTGCTATAAGCACGGCGACGTGGTGGTATACCATTCTCAACATGGACTCCAGCATCTTCGAGGTCTTTATTCCTCAGCATTTCCTCACCACGCCACAAGAGGCAATCCTCGGACTTCGAACTGTCATCCAATTTGATTACAATTGCTGTTACTCAGCTGGCTTTTTGTGGTTGGCATATCACTTCAAGGACCTTGAGAATGTTGGGGTTTGCAGTATTTCATGGATCCGAGCCGGCTGCGCTTCTGTTATGCTGGGTTGTTTGCTTGGACCGGGAACAATGTTTCCTCTCGTTTGGCTTTTGAGAGAGGAGCTATTGGTCGCGACACAAGCCGATGCGAAGAAATCTGAAGAGTAGATGCTTGTTAGTGGTTAGAGGAAATTTGAGAACGCCAAGCATTCACAAGGGCAAGCCTCCAGCCAGTAAGCGGCGAGATTGTTCACCCGACCGAACAACATCTTCAGCCGTCATGCATATCGCGCAGACTCTCATCTCACTTCACACTCATCTCATCATTCACTGCCCAACATGGCACGCCTTCGGTACAACGTCGCAGCAAGTCTCGACGGGTACATCGCATCACCAGATGGTTCAACAACCTGGATCATTGAAGATCCCACCATCGACTTCCCCGCGCTGCACGCCGAATTCGACTCCTTCATCATGGGCCGCAAGACATACGAAGTCATGCAATCCTTCGGCGCTGATAATCCACTATCAAAGCGCTCCAAAGAATCAGTCATAGTAGCCAGTCGCACCATGTCCCAGCACAATTTCCCCGATGTCACAGTCATACGAGAAAACGTGCTTGATTACATCAGACACCTCAAAATGAATGACGGGAAAGATATCTGGCTTATGGGCGGTGGCCATCTAGCAGCCCAGTGCCTAGAAGCCCATCTAGTGGATACCGTCGAAGTCGCGATAATGCCCACGCTCCTCGGCACCGGAATAAACCTCATTTCCTCCCTCCCGCAAAACATAAAACTCGAGCTATTGAACAGCACGAGCCTCGGCAGTGGGATCCTCATGACTCAATACAGAGTCATACAAGACCAGTAATAAATAAGCATAATCTTCCCGTATGCTCCCTCCCGATTGGCATCTCCACAGCAGAATACGCCGTAGCCAATCGACGCGTCGAAACTTATTACCCAAAGTAGGTCACTTTTGGTGGCGAGACCCGCTGTGGCATTGACTCATACCCACGCCGATTGGCTGCGTCGAATATATGCGCCTCAAATGACCGCAGGCGACCTTGGCTTTTTCATGCCAGAGTCGTA